AAACGTAGCTGCCATTCCATATTTTTCTAGTTTCTCTGCGGAGAAAAGAAGTCGTACTGCTCTTTGATAGATGAGCTAATATTTGAACCGACCATGATATTTTTATGGCTCCAACAAATTTAATGCTGTTAATCTTAGACAAGCTGAGAAACGTGAATTTAGTCGGGGGCAAACAAGCGTTTGTGTTTGAGTGAGTAAAAAAGAAAAGGCTAAAGGTCTAAAGATGTAAGCTTTAAGAAAAGCTTAAAGTAATAATTTCATTAACGAATATCACTTTTCAGAGTGCACACACAGCGATACAGCCACAAGGGATCTCTTTTCTGTCCAGTTGTAGGCTTCCTTCAACAGGTTTAGCATTTCCAAGACTACAGCCTGAGCACCAGGCACCCCTGGCGACAGGGCTGCTTCTGTCCACCGCAGAGCACCTCCACAAGGGTCATGGCCAAGAGTCACCCCCCTCCTCCTCTACTGTGCACTGAAGAACAGCTGCTCTGCCAAGCACATTGACTAAGCATTGACTACTGCCTGCTGGGCTCATTTTCTAGTTAGCAGAGAGAAAAAAACTAATAATTTAAACAGAAAGCGCATTTACAGGTCTGGTGAGAAAATACAACGTGTCATTAAAACCTAATAAAAGAATGATGAGGAACACCGTTCCAACGTGTCCGCCTGGCTCTGTTCACGTCTCTATTCTCCGTTTGGCCGGTATTTGTGCTTTCAATGTCGTGAGCACAACAAAAATGATAAAAGAGTCATTAAAAAAAGAACTAATCATCTTGGAAAAATCCACGGGGAAGTGATTAGAGCCACAAGAAAAGGGTAAAACGGTGGGTCTGAGTACAAAAGAATGAGCCGATATAAAATTGAAATTGTTGAAAAATGATTTTACGTGAAAGTTGAGTAAAAGATTTTGACGTTAAATTAAATTTTCTGAAATAAATAGATGCTTATATAACTTTTCAGTGAGGGTTTGAGTGGTCGATCAGCACTTCCACACGTCTATTAAAGCGCAACTGGTCTATGGCAAAAAAAAAATTAACGTGCAAAGGGGAGAATATGTAATTCTACTGGTATCTATTAACACAAAACTAGCCTTATTAAGTGCTCACTTTGTTCAGTGGATGCACATCGCTACACAAACAAGCAAGCTGATACCACCAACACAAACTACAGGGCTCCAGTTACAGAGCCTTTCAAATATAAAACCATACCAGAAGGCAGCACCTTAAGAAAATGTTGTTGTTTTTTGCGCCACCTATTACAGCAAATTACAAATTAGCTTGGAAAATATACATGAATGAAACAGAATCAGGCTGGGCTTTTATTTTGCTGCTGTTAATAACACTTTCCCCTTCGAGGAGAGTTATTAGATACAAGTTTGTCAATCACAGACCAACTTCCTGCTTCGTTACTCGTTGCTGCGTGTGCGTGACCTCGTCCTCAGCTCGGAGAGCGCCTGACCTCTGTGTGTCTCTCTCCGACATCAGCCGTGGAGGGACTCCGAACGTAGCTAATTGTTTTTGTTCATTTTCCGTGCCCGGCTGGAGGAGTTGAAGGGCGGGAGAGCAACAGGGGAGAAAATCAGGAAAAAGGAGATGAGGAAAAGGAAAGGGCAGAGGGGGGGAAGTGGAAAGGAAATGCCTTTTATTTGGCGTTACAACTGAGACATCATTAGTGCACGTTGTCTGCTCCTTTGTTAATCTAAACCCCTCATGAGCAAAGACGGTTCAGGTAGCAGATGGAGAACATATAGTTTTCAAACTGATTAAAGTTGAGGTTTTGAACAGTGTACTTCTTGTGTCACTCTGAAATTCTTACCAACCATAAAATCATGAAAGAATCTTTATGGAAAGTGTGGCTGCTTGAAACAAACAGAAAAAAACGGGTGTTACTTCGAGTAATGAAGCGACTAGCAAGTTCCTGGTCCCATGCGGTAATTGTGAAACACATTGTTGGACTGAAGACAGCAAAACAGCCAGAAACACCACTTCAGTTTCTGCCAAAATCTCATGAGCAGCACAAAAACAACCATACGGCTCGTCTGCGCAAATAACAAAACTTGACAATGACTGAGGTGTCCACAGTGCTGTGACTCCGTCAACTGGAAAACTTTGAGAAAACGTAAAAAAAAAAAAAAAAACAAGAATACTGAAAAATCGCATTTTAACCAACAAGTTCTGATCTAAAATTCGTCATGTTGTTTCAGTTTTGTCTGCCAGTGACAAAATCAAGTGTGAAAATTGATGTTCAAATGAAACTTTGACCAACAGTTTTCTAAGACAGAGGCAAATCATTGCACGTGAGCTTTTATGTGGTCACTATATTTAACACAGTTGAACATTTGTAAGCGGGCGTCATAAAGTTGTAAGAGTCGGTCGTATTTAAGTTGTTTTAACGTGAAGATTTCACAAACAGCTTTTTCTGTGTCTTTAAGTTGATCAAGTAAGCAAACAGGAAAATACATTTTTAAACTTACATTTTGGGTACAACTTTTTTTTTTAAATCATGTTTTAGGACAAAACTGAATCAAAAGTGCAGCTTCGGTGTGATACATTTTTAAAAAGGTGATTTTTAAGTGGGCGAAAGGTTCTTTTTGTTTTACGTTTAGACAAACAGGGGTTTTGTAGGTTAATTTATAAAAGTATAATCATATTCCAACAACGAACACAGAGACTAAAGACTAAAGAACAAGACTGAAATAATCTCTTATGTTGTGTTGCTTTCACTTTGGTTCTTTCTGTGTTCAGTAAGTAGCAGCAGTTTCAGTGAACAAAGGAAAGTTTCAGAGCCACACCAGTTTTCTACAGTAATGTGGGAGGAAACAGACTCAATATTTATTAACTGAGTCATCAATAAGACGAGTTTTCTGTCCCGCTCTTGGTTTCCTCCCTGATTCAAAGTTACCTTTCCGTCTTTCTGCTTCAGCCCTGCAGGGGTTAGTCAACAAACTCTATTTAGAGTAAGTAGAACAGAGTGACTGTTAGAGCGCCGAAGCCTATATGAAAACCTGTTTCCTTCCCTCGGGCGAGTTGGAGACACAGAAACAGATGAGGCTCAGGAAACTGGGTATTTCTCATGTTTTACTGGATCTCAAAGAAAGCAAAAGAGTAGCACAGACAAGGGGATCACCGTCATAGTTTCTCTACCCTGAGTCGTGTCAGACCTGAGATTAACAGCCGATTTACTTAAACCTCCTCTTTTTTTTAAAATAAACTTCGTCCTTCTTCAGTGAAAATCAGAAAACTTGTCAGCACATCTGGAAGGGATCAAGTTAACTGAGCAGCCTGTCAAGTCCACATTTTTTTCAGTTGTTGCTAGAAAAAAATGCAGCCTAATGAAGGCACGTCTATCAAGCCTGAACTGTGTTCGCCTCTACTGAAGACAGTAGGCCAGTATAATAATCAGAAAGGCTAAGTTGAGGTAGGAACCAAGACCACACCAGTCACGGTCTACGGGATATCAGACCGAGGATCTACACCCAGCCTCCGACTTCAGCAGGGAGCTTCCAGTCAGTCGTCCTTTCAGACTTCAACCACTAATTGTTTCAGGCATGAAATTGTTTTTCTCAAACTTCAAATTCAACGTAAATAGTTGTGTAACATATTCAGCGTGTGTTAATAATGGCTCCGCTCACTTGGAAGAGTTTATTCAACAAATACAAGTGGCAGCTGAGTGAAAGATCTCAGTAAACTCCTGGGCCAGCAGCAGACCCAATAAGCCCAGGAACAAGGCGGCACAGTGAGGGACTTGTGTCTCGACAAACACGGACAAATTACAGAAGGTCGACTGGAGACAGTGGAGGGCGTTCTGACTCGACCACTGAAAAACCTTTGTTTGAACCTTTATTTTAAGTCACTTTTTACTCAGTTCTGTTTGAAAAGGTTTTGTTGACCACTTTAATACAGATAAAAGGAAAACTCCTGTGTACAACGTTTGTTTTTGTTTATATCAGAGACATGGGATTTTAAAAAATCACTATTATGTGGTGCCAACATACGAAATAATTTTTAAATGTGTTTTTATAGTAACACTTTATATGTTTTAGCAAAATATGTTGTATATAAGAATAAACTTTAAAAAAAAGAAAACTGTAATCCAGTAATTGGGCTGCTGAACACACACCTGCCAGTTCATCTTCCATTAATAAATTAAATTTAAGAAACAACTTTATCAGTTTGCTAAAAGTTTAATTAAAACCCCCCCCATGTCAATTTCGATTCTTTTTAACACGCAAAAAAAGTTATTTAAGAAAACATAACGGCTCAAGAAATAGTTTATAAGTTAAAAGGAAAAGTTTGGGCTGTTACAATTTCACAACACAAATGAACTCATATTTCATTTTGGGGCTCAGTTTTAGTGTTTTTGTTAAAAACACGTACGTTTTTATACAACTCTCCTGCTTTAAGATGTTCAGCTTGTTGCTCCATATAAAAACGGAACTGCACAGAGCTTTTAAAAAGTTTTCTGACCGTTAAAAGCAAAGGTTTGTCATAAAATGTAAGAAAGTCACATTAAAACACGAGGAAACAGGATCAGCTGTCCCTCACAGCGCACAGCTCAGATGGTTTGTTTCACAGAAGGAAACGTTAATTCGGACTAAATATATTTTAAAAAATGTGTTGATCAGAAACTGTTCAAAGTTTTCTCGACTGAGGCCAAAGTTAGATTTGGAGTAATTCATCCAAACTGAGTCCACCAAAGAGAAAAAAAAAATCATGAACTTGATAACCCAGTAAGATAATTCAGATCTGGGGTGGTTCCACTGGCAGCAGGTAAACGCAGCCCCGGACCAGAATGTTGCGCACAGTGGAGTTTTGCGAGGAACGCGCAGACTGTGCGTAAAAACAAAACCCAACAGTCCTTTCTGTTCCTTTACACCACACATGCAGGGAATAAAGACAGTGTGACCCGGGGAGGGGAACCTCCGTGCGCACTCAGCGCGCGCTTCATCCAGAGGAGCAGGACCCTCCGTGAGCCCTGCCCGGTGCGCGGTTACTTACTTGGCGTTGGTTCGGTTCCAGAAGACGGCGTAGCGGTCGGCCACCACTTTGGATCCGGGCTCCTGGCTGAACACGCACATCAGCAGCACCAGGCAGATGAAGAGGACCATTTCCACATGCAGCATCACTACGGCCAAACTTCGTATTCCTCCTCAGCGTCGGTCGGGTCAGGCGGGTTAGAGTCTGCGTGCGCGTTACGCGGGACAGGTGACGAGTCTCAGTCACATGTGGCCATGTGTTCCCGCTGCCGCTTCATGAAGTGTTGAACCAAGTGAAGAGCGAGGTGGAGGGGGAACCGTGCTCACTCTGCGGGACAGTTGAGAGGACACTTGTTCAGGGTGACAGCGATGGGAAGGGACAGACAAACAACGCGTCGCTGCGTTTTTTTTTGTTTTGTTTTGTCTCTCGCGCGCGGGGCAAGACGGTCCCGATGAATCATAAGATTTAGTTTGTTGCAGGATGGCAGCTCGGAAAAATCCGTGACAGAATCTCTCTCCCCCCCCCCCCCCCCCCCCCCCTCCCCCGTGGCACAAACAGGGAGATCAGCAGTGTTGTTGGTGTGTCCCCCCCCCCACCCCCACCCCCGCCCCCACCCCTCGCGCGCGCACTGAGTCTCTGGGTGTAGCCTGTGTGACAGAGCAAGTGACAAAGCCCGACACTTATTGTTACTTCCAAACCCAATGCGCAGATTAGTCGGAGCAGGACGTGATGGGCAGCAAAGAGCAAAAAAAAAAAAAAAAAAAAAAAAGGTGGTGGAGCTCTAATGTGTCCAATGGCGCGTTGAGGCGCGCGTCAGATGTCCATGTTCTCCAGGCAACTTTTTAAAGCCACACAAGCGGATCCGTGTCCGGAAGATGGATGTTAGAATCTCGCCTCCTGCGTGGGAAAAAACACTGCCATCCTCTTTCCGCTGCGATGTGGTGGGTGGGGGTTGTCAGGGTCGAGGTGGGGAGAAGTCCTGCGCCGTGACGGAGACGAGTGGGTTTTGTCACGCGCTGTATTCTCGCCGTGGAGACGCTTGTTTACCTCCACATTCCGAGGTGTCCTCCTCATAGAAGAGCGCTCGCGCGGAGTGCGGGGACGCTGCGTGGATCTCCCATCTGCTCCGCTCTCTGTCCTCTGTCCTCCCTGTGTTTGGGGCTGTGAGACGCCGGGGCGCAGGACGGTGGGCAGGCAGGCAGCACCAGCAGCCGACTGAGAGAGTGGGTTCGGTTACAGCGGAGCGGCGCACGGCCCCATTGGTTTGAAATCATTCGAATGGGCGTAACCTGAGCGGAGCTAAGCCCCGCCCCTTACTTAAACCCAAGTAATTCAATTACAGGAAGGTAGAGCCGGATGGAGACGGAGGAGAGAGGTGCGCAGAGCAGGGAGCGCTCCTCTGACAGATTGGACACATAAGGACGCTCAGTGCTGTTTGACTACATGCAAAAGACCGTGTACTCCTAAAACACATCAACACAACTGCTTTAAAGAAACAAAACTGATGATAAAGGCATGAACTTTCAGCATTTTTACACACACTACACCACATTTCCTTCACAAGGGCACAATGGTGAGAGATGGTGAAGTGGATGAGGCAGCCTGCTTGGGTGAGGGGGGTCTGATGGGGTCCAGGGTGCCACTCCAGTGCTCATATGCATGCACCCTGATTCAGGCAGGGACACATTCAAGTTGTAATACATCAACCATATCGTCCTCGACGTAATAGCAAAAATAATAAACTTTCTTTCTTTTTTTTTATTATTATTATTCAACTTTATTTAAACAGATAAATCACATTGAGCCTCAAAGACTCATTTACAAGGGAGATCTGGTTGGACAGACAAAAACAGTGTTGCACCTTCCAACAACGCTTTGCATTGACCAAGGTGCTTAACAAGATAAAACAAATAAAAACAGGACACAATAAATCAGTGCAAATTAAAAACACAGCCAGAATAAAAGTACTCAAACAGAATAAAAAAGGGGGGAATGAAACTGCAGCCCAGAACCCCCCTGATGAAATTAACTCTAACAAATAGCCCATGAAATGTACAAGGGGTATTTTAAGGTGAATTAACTTTAATTGGTAGGTCCAGGGGCATCTTTCTGAATCATTTTATAAGTACAAAATTACAGATACAAGACATACACTGGAGTGGATTTGTTTATCTTTAGGGGAAATATTTAATTTATTTACATTGTCATTTAAAAGTACGAAGTAAATGAACTATATATACACTTTTCAGTCATTTTTCTATTTGTCTCTACATGCCTTTCGGTAAATTATACATAAAAAAAAGTTGTTTAAACTTTGAGCATCACATCAGTATTGGTTGTAAAATCAAGGAAATCTGACAAAGTTAAACCTAAAAGAGTCAAACGCCTGCTGAGTCCACGTGACAGGCGCTGTGAGCCAGCAGGAGATGTAAAAGGAAGGAAAACTGAACAGGGAAGACAAGCAGAGGAGGAGAGGGTAAGAGAGCGGCTAATATTTTAAGATAATCCTCTTGACCCGTTTGTGTTCTGTAACGTAAACTCAGGGCCGTTCGCTCTGCAGTCATCACTTCACACGCAGAAAAAGGGGCATTCTTGCTGCAGCTATGCAAAACCACACACACACTATCATAAAACAAACTCTGGAAAGTTTCAATTCTTTATTCCCCGCCTGTTTTTTTTGTTTTCTGCACTCTTAGAAGACACTATCAGCTACCAAGGAAGGAGGAATGGAAAGGTCAGCCTCAGAATCAGGAGAAAAAGACTGTTTCACACCCATGTCTGCATTCTTCTCCTGGTGCGTCGCATCACTTTACACAAACAACTTAAACACACACACACACACACGATAACAAGCATGTTTGACTGACTTGTGCAGTCGGCGTGGACCCCCAGCTGTTTTCATTTCCTCTGGCTCATCCCCATCATCGTCTTAACTTGCTGTCACTGTCAGAGCTGCTCTGATGACTTTTTCTGCTGTTTTTCTTTCTGGCTTCTTTTTAGAATTTTTAAGCAAACCGATTTAAAAATGTTTTGAAAATTGTCTTTTTTTTTTTTTTCCCCCATTAGATGAATTAGTGAGGAGGAAAAGATCATGGACCAACTCTGATCAGATCATTTCAAGACACATTTTACTGTTTTTTTTTTTTATATATTATTATTCGTAACTCGTAAGATCTAAAAAGGTCTACATTATGCACACACAGACTTCTTATCCCCACTATTTAACTTTGAGGGTTTTATGGTCCAATTCAATTTCAGTCAAGCTTCTTGTAATGTCTTTTTGATAAAGGATAACTGGCTTCATCAAGAGCTTCACTTTGATATATAGAAGTCATTCTGGCCAAAATGACAAGTTTCTGGCTTCAAGCCGGAGATTTTTCTCCTTGCACATGCAGCAATCTGCATTCTCACACAGCCAGGGTCAGAGCAGGAGGAGATGGGAATGATTAATTACAGGATGGGTCACTGGATAATTTATAGTCTTTTTTTTATTTAACGTCACTGTTTTTGTCAACGGGACAATTGGAAATGAAATTATGAAAATAACATGAAATAGAGGAGAAAATACAGCTTTCATTGTTTCTGGTCCTGCATGCCAACAAACAATTACAACAATGAAAAGTACCCTTTGAACAAGTTCTTAAAAATATATCTGCCAATTAACCATTTATGATTTAAATAAAAAAAAATTAGAGTCAAATTTTAAAAGCATAAATGTAAAGTATGTTTTAAATGTGTTTCTTATATTTTGATTGTAATCTGTGATGTTTAACAGAAACTGTAAGTTATATATATATATATATATATATATATATATAT